AATTTATCTTTCTAGTCGTATTGTTTGGGAAACTTTTTTTAAATTTATCTTTCAAATTATAATTCTCATTCCCCGCGCATAACAAAATATGAGGTATAAAAACAATGCCGCATTTCTTGCTAATATTTATCTTTAGTTTATCTGAAGTGATAAATAGGCATAAAATGGGAATGTATGCACAGAGTGCGGGTGGGAGCTAGAAAGACGACGGCCCTAACGCTTAACAAATAAATCATAAAAGAAAACAATTAGGTTAAGGAATCCTGTAATAAGTTTCTGAATGATAATAATTAATAATTTTGCTTTGCTTATATATGCAAGTTCAAACATATTTACTGGGGTTACAATTAATTTAAGAAAGTCTTTTTTTTTAATGTTAAAGTGTACCAGTACATGATATTTATATTTGCTTACTGCAGCAGCAAGAAAGGAATTACGCAAAAAAATAAATAAATAAATAAAAAAATAAAAAATAAAAAAAATAAAAAAATAAAAAAATAAATTGAAACAAGAATTTTTTTTACGTTATCTCTGTTTAAATTTAATTACGAAAGTATGCCAGAATTGTTTTTTTACGCAAAGGTGAAATTCGTTTTCGTAGCAGTGCCTGTGATTAGATTAATTATGATGAATAACGCTGGGATTTAATTAAATGTTCATGGTTCTGTGAATATATTAGGAACTTACTGCTATCATTGTTTACATTTTTTACTTTATAAATATTCTTTTTTTTTATTTTGCTGTACATCACTTTATTCTGTATTCTCGCCAACGCATTCTTGCGAAAAAAAAGGGAATTGAAACACATATAATAATGATGTAAGTGAAGAAAAGTAGTCAACATATCGATCGCAAGGAGTTCAAGGTAAATGCCAACAGCAGTTTTCTTTTCACATGCTGAGTATTTAAATCACTAAAATAATCTAACTATTGATGATGTGTATGATGGTTGGCTGTGAAAAATTACTGACGGTACTTGACATTGCTACATACAGAGGCTGTTCACACATTTTTTAGACGACGCATATTGTATTCACAAAACTAAATTGCATTAAATTCTTGTGTTTTAAATGTTCTATTTGACATCCCTTATTCTGAACTATCTTTCGACACCGCAATTTCCAGGATAATAATGCCTTTTGAAGTGGCAGAAGAGGTATTCTATCCCATTCCTCCCGAACAGCTTTCCAGAGTCCTGTTAGGGTTTTGGGACAACGTTTGGATAATGCAGTTTTTAAAAGTCCGAAAGCACAAAACTCCATAGGCGACACATCGGGAGATTTGGTAGGGATATCAGTGAAGAGTATGGCCTTGATACCAGTTTTTTGTTCTATTTCGTTTAGGAAATTTACAGTGGATTTTGATGTGTGACTGCTAACTTTGTCCTGATGGAGTCTCACAGATTGATGGCACTGTGGGTAAAGCGATGGTATTTCATTCAGAAAAATTGGCGATATGTTCCTGATAGTATATGGAATTAATCTTGACATTTGTTTGCACTCTCTTTATTTTTAACTTGCCATTATAAGAAAAACCAGCAGCAATCATGAATCCCTTAGAAAAACTTTCCTTCGATTCTTTGAACCATGTACTTAATTTTTTTTCTCCCCTTTTTATGCCCCCCCGGGGGTCGACGTAGAGAATTCTGCGAAGCTACTGGCTAGGATCTGTACCTAGGCGTCTCGGCCACGGGAGTATAAAATTTATGAATTTGGTGGTTCTGGGCTCTGGGAAAGGTCACTTATTGGCCGGCCCCGGAGTCTGGCACGTCCTAGCGCGGCGTGGTTCTAGTAACCCGGGGTTCTCCCCCGGGGTCGCTGGGTAATGTCCCGCTGCGACGGGCTCGCCCAAGCGACTGGTAGGAGCATTAGACGACCGTCTGCCTGGGGCCGTCCCCAGGTGGTGCGCTGCTTCTCCTGGAGGGTAATAGTGAAGGTTGAACCTCCACGACGTGCCCAAAGGGGGAGTGGACCTGTAGTGGGCTTAAGTTCCCGGAGCAGGGAAGCCAAAATCCTCCCCTTTTTATATTAATAAATGGCTTTTTTTTTGTTACAAACATTTAAATACACCCATGATTCATCTATTGTGACAATTGTTTTCCATTGTTCTTTGGATATGTGTTTCTCATATAGAATTCTGCAGCGTGTCCTGCGTTGAGCGATATGCTTTGGAAGAAGACGATGCACATTCCGTTTTTTCGCTTTCTTAAGATTTAAATCAACGTTATCATTTGTTTACAGTGGAAACCGAGCATTTTAATGATTTTGCAACTGTCCTTTGACTAGGGGGATTTTCTTTTAACATTAAACAACGTACCTTTGCAATAGTCGAAGATGTCCGTTTTTTTTTTTGGATACTTGTTGGAATTTTTGTCTCCCTTGAGGCTCCAATTTGACGTTTTTTTTTTTCCTTTCTTGTTGATGATATTACCTATCGACGCTTTAGATATCACAAACCATGACTCTCACATCGTTTTTGGATAACGGAGTATGCATATTTTCTCTTCGGAAAGAGCGTAAATGTAGCCTTCGAACCACTGCTTTGTTAAATTCGCCATTTTGAATAAAAACGAAACTTTCAAGCCACAGACAATAATTTTGACTTTTAAAAACATAGTACAATTGCAATTACTTCTTTTACAGCAAACGAATTTTTATTACCGCTTACCAAAGTCGTCTAAAAATGTGCGAACAGCCTCTGTATAAAGGTGTTTAGAATGTAGATGTAAAGATGTTAAAGAAGTAAAGGTGATTAGAATATAGAAGATATAAAGGTGTTTAGAATATTAAGAATAATAAAAGCAGATGTGTAATATAAAGAATAATAACAGCAGAATGTCAGTCTCAAATTGAAAACATCATTACATTTCTAAAGAGGTTTCAATTTGAGAAATTTTACAATGCACTTTTGTTACATTTCAGTTTTCTAACAAACGAAATGTTCTATTAAGGAATAAAAAGAAAGAAAGAAAAATGGAAAAATATGAATGAGTTCCGTTTTCTGCGTAATGTAAAAGTGTTAAAGAAGTAAAGGTGATTAGAATATAGAAGATGTAAAGATGTTTAGAATATAGATGTACAGATGTTTAGAATATAGATGTACAGATGTTTAGAATATAGATGTAAAGATGTTTTCAATTTGAGAAATTTTACAATACACTTTTGCTACATTTTAGTTTTCTAACAAACGAAAGGTTCTTTTAAGGAATAAAAAGAAAGAAAGAAAAATGGAAAAATATGAATGAGTTCCGTTTTCTGCGTAATGTAAAAGTGTTAAAGAAGTAAAAGTGATTAGAATATAGAAGATGTAAAGATGTTTAGATGTAAAGATGTTTAGAATATAGATGTAAAGATGTTTTCAATTTGAGAAATTTTACAATACACTTTTGCTACATTTTAGTTTTCTAACAAACGAAAGGTTCTTTTAAGGAATAAAAAGAAAGAAAGAATAATGGAAAAATATGAATGAGTTCCGTTTTCTGCGAATTCGAAGAAAATGCTCTGTCATAAATTATAAGTATTGCTATTACCCAGAGAACGAGATTAAAGTCGAGTCATTTAAAAGCAGAATGTACTATTTAGTACTATTTAGATATTTACAATTTATATTGTCTGGTGTTTGAAATGAAACACAGAAAAGAATTTAAAATTTTTAAAATAAAATACTCACACAAACACCCCCATATATATATATATATATATATGTAAGATAAAAATATATGAATCAGAATTATAATATAACTATAAACATTTATTCTTCCTCTCTATTCTAAAATCGTAATAACTTCTCTGCATTGCATCATTTCTAGATCACTCTATGGCCCGCGCAACTCTGATGATGTAATAATTAAGAACTGAAACTGCCCTTGTAAACCAAAACTTTTCTCTTCGCGTGCTTCCATCTTTCATAACTACGCACTTCAGTTTTTGCTCTCTACTGTGCTAAGATGTAATTTCGCTGGCTTGCTTTCTATCTCAACAATATCAAAAATGTAATCTTCTGTGGAAAGGCACGACTAGAGTGCCAAATGATTGTGGCCACAAATATCAGTTGCAAATAAAAATGGAATTAAAACTGCCTCGACTGCCAAGTTCTTTAGATATTACCAAGTTAGCATTACTAGCATACTACGTTCTTCAATATGGGTCTAATCACGCATCGACACTGCTCCGGCTTTTGATTGAGCTTTCAATATTACATATATATATATTAATAACTGCTACAATGAAAAACTTTTGTAAAACAAATCAATAACAATCATGGCTAGATTGGCAGTGATACACAGATGGTATAGTAGCTAACTGGAATTGGCAAACACACTGGTTGCATCTTATTAAATGTAACTTTATAAGAAACACAAATCACTTGATATTCAAACATATTTTTATTACTTGTTGACTATTCAGACGCATCTTATGGCATTGCACAGCGCAGTGCGGCTATCTGCACCCCCCCCCAGTTTTAAATTATGCAGTTACATTTTTCAAACAAGGAGAAACGTAGCCAAACGAGACTTATTCAGTTAAGTGGTTTATTCAGGCAAAAGCAAGCAGCAAAAAAGTGTGCGTACATCAATATTCTTTAATATGGAGTTATCGCTGAAGTTTCTCCTCTTCTGTCCTCTTCCGGAGTCGTTTATAGCATTGACTAAGATCTATACGTTCATAGCTCGGCTCAGGGGGCATGTTATTGATGAACTGATTTTCTAAACATTATCCATCCGATCCGACAGCGCAGCGAACCGTTATTTACTAATTCGGAAATACTAGTCCGCTGTAGTCTCCTAATCCTACAAGGTGTGTTAAGATAGCCTAGAATCCTCCGCAATTGACTAGTTGAGACAATTTTGCTTCTTGCTTCAATATTATTGTCCCTCTGGGGATTTAAATCCCTCCATGGACTCTCCAAGATACCTACCATTCATAGTGTTGCCTTCAGTGAACTAATCTGGCAGGGCGGAACGGAGTCAATACATTATTATTAATATACTTTTTTTGCAGGTCACCATTACTGGTATGGACTTAAATGATTACCGCCAGTGCCTACGACGATGGAGTGCAGCCGTGCACGCCATGTACAGCCAGTGCCACCTCTTGGGACCTCGCATCTGCCTTCCCGTTCACTATGAACGCCTAGTGCTTCATCCCGAAACTTCCATGAGAAAGATTCTCGCCTTTTTGGATCTTCCTTGGAATGCTTCAGTGCTTCATCATGAACTATTGGTTGGAAAACCAGGCGGTGTTTCTCTTTCCATGTGAGTGCCTAGATACAGCTACCGAAGTTTTTTATCCCAAAATTTCTAACATTTTTAAAGAATATAAATATAACTTACCTCTACAATTCAAACGGGAAAGGTGGCATAATGCATTGATGGCATTTGTTGCTACGAATGCTATTTCGCTGGTAAGTAACAATGGGCAACCCAAATCAAAACCTAAGGTCTGTGGTTTAAAAGTTCCAAGCAATTGCGTTCATGACATGAGAGAAGCAAGAGGAATTTGATACCGAATGAACACTGCAATTCTCTAGTGTGTATGAAAAACCTGTGTGTTATCTGAGAAGTATTTCTGAATGAAATAATTAAGAGCTCAAATTCTTAATAGTTGCAGTTTACCTCTTTTTGCCATCATTCAAACTATTATTGCAAAAAATATTACATTTTAGAGTAATAATAATTTTGCCTTTTCTTAAATGAAATCGCAAAACAATCAAAACACTAAAAATTCGAAAACTGTATAAATGGATCAAGCTTTCAGAGAGAAATTCGGACATTTTGAATTTAAGTTTTTGTCTGATAAGCGCAACCGTGTTTTAAGACAAGACGAATTTGCTAAGACAAACTCTCTTTATTTCGTGTTTTAGAAGAATTTGGTGATTTCGCCATGTAACCAAGTAATCTTGAGTTAAATACTACTTAAATTCTAAGCCATTCTGATAGCGGAGATTTTTTTTTTTTTTTTTTTTTTTTTGGTAGCAGTGAGCACTAATGACTGGAAGCGAAACGTTATTTAGTTTGTTGTGTGAGCCTTTCATTAGGTTTAAGTTCATGACATTTGTTTGAAATCTCTAGTCTCAATGTGAAAAAGTAAATAATTTAATGAACAAATTGCATATAAAGTTATTATTTATTGATTTCCACTTTCGATTTAGAAACAAAATGCTTTAAGGTACTTACATATTATTGCAACCATATTGGCGCAATTTGGCAATATTTTACGGATGAAAATGTAAAAGTTACTTAGCATGCGCAAGTTGGTGGTTTTCGCGCCTTCTTTTTTAGAAAGATTCTCAAACTATTGATATTTATAGTAAGTTTGGTAAACGATATCAACGTAGAGAAAGAAAACATACTTTAGCAATTTAAAATATTAATCTGAATTATTAAATAAGGATTATGTCGTACATTAAAAAAACAAAACACTGACATTCACTTAGAATCTCGTTAGAACTTTTGAGCAAAATTCTGTATTACTGCCGTAATTTTACCGTAGTTTCTTCCATTGCTGGCGAATTTCACAAGCTCATACTTTAAAACTAAGTTTAAGACAAAAAATATCACGATTTGTGTATAAAAACCGTTTGAACTTGAAATACAACAATATAGAACGCATAAGAATATGGCAGCGTTGCTTGACTGAATTTGAATTATTAACAGATCAAATTAATTCCAAGTTCAAATGAAACGTTTGAAGTTGGAATACAACAAAATAGAACGCATACGAAGATGGCAGTGTTGCTTGACTGAAACGATTGTTATGAGCATGGTTGCCAGAAGAATGGTTATGCACATGGTTGCCAGAGTTTGGCATTTTCTGAAATTGTGGCTACTTCTACTAAGATGGCTGCGATAGTACGTAAGTACCTGCTTTAATTAAAATTTAAATTGTATTTTTCGACAGATTTTGCATTTAAACTAATATGGGAAAGGTAAAACAAAGCTTAGAGTATTTGATTATAAATACACACTGGAGTGTTTTGCAGAGTGAAACTTTTTATAAGTTCTTGAACTAAGACTCTCGAAAGAAAATAGTTAATGAAACTCGGTGAACTCCGTGATAAAGTTTGCCTTTGGTAATTAACATTTTTATTTCTCTCTTATTTCTTTATATTTGCTTTAACTATAGGAATTTAGCACAACTTTCAACAGAAAAGAAATCGAGAAAGATAAATAGTATTTTATATTTCGTTGTAAAACTCAAGTAGTTTTTAATGTGAGTTTGTTTATACATTGTATTATTTAACAAATCATGACGATTTCTGAACGATTACTGTCTTTTATTAGATAACAAGCAGAATGAAATATTGTACTGCGCCTGAACTTACTCAATCTTTTTTCACACATTTGATTGCACATTTTATGACGTTTTACTATGACTAGCTATACGTTCAAGTACTTATTTACGGTGTTCCTTTAAGATATGTTTTTCCAGTCCATTTAAGTACTGATCTAAGATATTCCAATAGGATATGTTTTTTTAGTCTATTCAAGTCTTCATCCAGACATCCCTTCCTTTAGAAAAATAGCCTTTACGCGGTTAACTAAAATCAACTACTTTGACTCTTATCAGTTTAACAAAACATTAGCAGTGTAACCGATAAAGTCATTGAGTTAATTTAATCCCTCATGCTTTCTCATAAAGACATTACAGTAAGCAAATACAATCATTTATCTACCTCCGAAGAATAAAAACCATAATATATTGGGTAAATAATGGTCTTTGCAATATCAGATCTTATTTCCCTGCATAGCACGCTGGCCAACTAACAAGAACACCCTAAATAATAGCCTCATTTATCTCCCTGATGAGAAGGCAGGCGATTTCCCGGAAGAGAGAGGAGGAAATAATGCATTTGGGAATCACGAGTTCCTTTGGTTCCTTTGTGCTCCGGAAATTAAATAAATCCTACCACATCTCGGATCATAAAGCACGAGAGGGCACCAATTGAATGTCTCGGTCTTGCCCATTACGGTGAATCCCGTGTTAGAGTGACATAAAACACTCTTTTTTTTACAGTTGATCAATACTTGGTGCTTTACTTTAGTTGTTAAATGTGACGCAGCCGGACGCCCTTTCGATTTTGTTCAGTGTCTAGAGGAGGTGCGTTAAACTGAACAGATACTTTTTAAAATTGTCCACAACGTGTGAAGAAATTAAACATTAAGCTCAATTGTTTATTGATTTAATTAATTTTACTATAATATGAGGCATATATGTCCCAAACTAATTTAAAAGTTGAATTTCGGATTTAAACTAAGGTGTAAAGTTACGAATGTTAAACACTTTAGATCCGATTTCATGCATCTATATTACGTCTGCCTCGCATTTAACCCTCTAATTCAGGGGTTCCCAACCCTATGCCCGCGGGCACCATGGCGCCCGCTGATCGTTTAACGTGTACCCCACGCTGTGCGATCACAATAAAAATGTTTTAGATTTCAATAAAATTCTATGTAAAAGTGTTCTCATTTTTAATGCGTCCAACACGGGTACCAGAACAAAGCGAGATGTGACCGATCTCTTTTTATGAGCATGTATTATTAACTCTGTCCAACTATGTGCCCGGTGTCCAACAGTTGTTCTAGAATGTGTTCTTAGGGACAAAAAGGACGAAGATCCTTGCTCTAATTAGACCTCTGCTGGAAGAAATGATACAAACGGGATTCTACTATACCTAAAGCTAGAATGCTGTACCTAAAGCTGCTGTACCTAAAACTTAAAGGATTAAGGTAAAATATCAACCTTTGAAAGTGTATTAAATATTGCATACATGTTCAATGAATTACTAGTGACGTTTACAAATGAAATATATGGCAGCTATGCGATATATTTGAAACTTTAGTCTATGTATTTTCCTAGTGATTAAAAGAAAAACTATTAGCAAAACAGCTTTAGAATGGTATGGCAAAGAGATACGTATGTGCTGTGCAATATTCATTTGAATAATAACCTGCATTCATTAACTGTTCTTTTTTTTGTATTTATTTGTAATTATTTCTGTGCATAACCTTGAAATAGATCTTAAATACATAGTTTTATGAGATGTATTTAAAATTTTTATGTACTTGTAACCCTTTTCTCTTATAGAGGCAAGGCGAACTTATTTAAATATTAGATTTCGATTTTTAAATATGCATCTGTAAAGTAGGGTCAATTTCCGACTCCAAACAGATTCTCTAAAAGCGTATGTTAGCAGGATCGATCGGGTTTAGGACTTTTCGCCGCAGCCATTTTTTGGCTGCGCCCTTTCGGCGACAGGACAGTCTTCGCACCGTGGGCCATTTCGCCGTTAAGTAGAAATGAAATACGTGATAAAGGTTGCTTATAATATGTACAATTGTTTATAAATAAGAAACGGATGCTTAACTCCTTTAAAAGAAAGTACACGTAGTTAGGAAATTAAGTCAGTATCAAATAGAACAAAATTACCACATTTCATAATTATAGATTAAACCTCTGATATAACAGAAGTTATATTATCGTTTATAAAATGATGCAGATGATGCAATGTTTACAAGATTCGTGAAATTTCAATCAGCTACTTCAGAGAAATCGCTCATGCAAGCAGGAAATTCACATTTGTGTGAAATCTTAATCGAAAATGGAATTACTTTGGATTCTTGTTAGCACATTACTGTCTTAAAAATTAATAGATAGATAGATTTACTAATAAGTTAACTAAGAAAATTATGTCAGAACGGCCAAATAGCTCGACGGCGAAATAGCATGACGACGAAATGGAGGCATCCAAACAGCGGCGGCGATTGTCCCATTTATAGCAGAATCACCTTATTTACTTTCAGTTCTTATGTCAAAGTTGTGTACACTTTATGTTGTGAACAGATGGTGCTCCTTTCACGGCAACCAACGTAGAACACTTCTGAAGTGTCTTCAGAAGATGAAGTTCTAGACTAGTGACACGTTGAGGCCATACTTATTCCCTAACGGTACATTCCATGTACCTGCTATACCTGTTATCATCTTATCCAACAGAACAGTGAAGTACTTGTTTCGGGATCTGCTTTGAAAAAATAAATTACTTAATAGTTTAATGCATGTATAAATATTTCGAAGATAATTTCACACATATAAAAATATAATTTCTTAACCTTAATTTTATTTTCAGACTTGAAAGATCTACAGATCAAGTCATCAAACCCATCAACACTGAAGCCCTTACCAAATGGGTGGGTCGCCTGCCTGAGGACGTTGTCCGAGACATGCCCTCTCTTGCACCTATGTTGGCCATTTTAGGATACGATCCTAGGGCCAATCCTCCGGACTATGGACAACCTGATAGTCTTGTCATCAAGAATACATGGGACTTAAAAGCCAATAAGAAAGTGTGGGAAGCGCGAGAGAGACTTGTTGCAGAGAAAAGGGACAACATTTGGAGATCATGGCTGCAGAAATCTAAATCTAAATCTAAATCTTCCGTAAACATAGAAGTGCCCAACAATACTACCGAAATGAACTACCCGACCACAAACGATATATGGCAAAAGTTGGTTGGAGTTACCAATGGTAGTGGATTCAGTACTCGAAGCTGACGTACGTAACACGCATTAACAGCGTTGCATATTTCGTTATGTTCAGAATAGGAAACCTAAACCAAACTTTCTGAGAGTTTTTTTTAATCTTTTCGTCAAAATAGCCTACCACATGAACCATTAGAATTAATTGAGGCTTTTTAAAAAGCTGTTAATATAATGGGTCCCCTCGTGAAAACCATCTCGCTAAGGTGTTCACATATGGAAATGAGAATTTCTGAGGATATCAGTTTTAAACATCATTTACCTCGTCAGGTGGGCTTAGAGATGTTTCTTTCTAATTTCGTTTGCCTTTTTCTGCTATAGGCTCATATTTGAAAAAGACTGAAAAGAAGATAATTTGGAAAACAATGTCTAAACTTAAAACCTCAGTGATATTACTGTCATCAAGGAGAATCGAAATTGTCGATTATTGAAATGAAGTAACAGTTAAATGGAACTCTTAAATGTATATAGAAACGTTGTGTACACTTTCTTCAGTACGTCTTTTGAAAATAAAGAACAAAAGTAAAGTTGAATGCGAAACTTTCTAATAAAAATTTAGCCATAATTATGGAACTGTGAGATTATGATTGCTGAAACTTCTGTGAGAATGTGAGCTTGATGTAGCTTTCCCGTTAACCCATATAGAAGTTTCAGATGTGACACCAATTTTTAATTTATCATGATGCTAAATTTAATGCTTACTTACACCATTAAAGTAAAACTTAATGTTGCTGACTTAAACTTTCCATTTATGACAAGCTGTAGAAAAAAGACATCATAACATCATATAGTTAATAATTTGAGGAAACGTTCGACAACAAATCGATTTAAAAAGACGAGAGAAAAACGGCTACATGTTTTGATAATCTGCTTCCGTACCCATGGGGGCACGTCTATTTTTTCACTGTGATTCAATTCGCCTGTGGTAACTGCACAATTTATTATATATGATGATTTTATTTTCATTTAAAGACATCTGTTTTTCTAGTTGTAATTATTTTAGATTGTTTAAAATATCTAGCTATGCATTCGCAGTAGTACAATTTGGAGCCGGTAAGGCTTGTGAGAATAATGAGCTTGTTATGTACTGGTGTGTAAGAGCTGTGTTACCAAGTTGTTGAATATGTTCTGGGAAACCAGGATGTCAGCCTAATATATTTTGGGAAAGGGGGGACTAATTAAAATGAAATTAAAAGAGCCAGCACACTTGCTGGAAACTAATAGAAAACGATCTGCGTTAACGGACACTTCCCATAGAAGGAAAGGAATGATTAAAATGAATTTAATAGAAACAGTACTTGCTTTTGTAATGCTTGCTGGAAACTGTATACAGTTCTATCTCCATTAACGGACACTTCCTTTAGAAGGAGAGGAATAATTAAAATGAATTTAATAAAAACAGTACACCTTTTTAATGCTTGATGGAAACTGTGTACAGTTCTATCTCCATTAACGGACACTTACCATAGAAGGAGAGGAATACTTAAAATGAATTTAATAGAAACAGTACACTTTTTTAATGCTTGATGGAAACTGTATACAGTTCTATCTTCATTAACGAACACTTCCCATAGAAGGAGAGGAATAATTAAAATGAATTTAATAGAAGCAGTACGCTTTTTTAATGCTTGCTGGAACGGTTTTTTAATGCTTTACGGATTAATCCATCTCTTTACATGGATCCACATTTAATCCATGTAAAGAGATTTTCATGGCCTTCCCAGAGAAGGAAATTCCTTGAACTCCGGGACCTTCAGAACGAGAGAGATTTAGGGAATACTTTCTGTATTTCTATTTAGAAAACACTTCCTTATAACCATCAGATGGCCTGGCCCTGTTACTTTTCGCTAGGGAATACTCCAGCACTTCCATTTAGGAGACACTTCATAATAACAGTCAGATGACCTGGTCCTGTAAGTTTCCGCCAACGAGAGTTTGGTCTCTATGTGTTCATAACTACAAATATTCAGCATAAAATTCTTCTTAGTAAATCAGAATGGGCAGTTTATTTTTCGAAAGCAGAAATGGTGAACTTATCTGTGATAAAACGGAGTAGTAATGAGTGTTTTTGCTGAATGCGTTTAACAATGCGCTGGCTGTACATGTTATGCCTTACTTAAAGCACTGATATTTGAGTGATAAAAGCACATATTACTGACTTTGATGAATTGAAGAATTCATTCATTTACGAAGAACGGCAATATTAAATGAACATGAATTTTTGTGAATAAATAGCAAAAGATATCACAAATATAATTCTTGTATTATTTACATAATAAAAATTCCCGTAATGTTTGGTATATTACTTTTAAAATAATTGTTGAGGAATCTCGGAAATTGGAGGATTTGAGATTCAGTTTGTAAGTCTAATATTCAGTGTATTATTAATGAATATTTGCAATCTAGTGTGCATATATAGCAATAAAATAAACTGTACTAAAATATATTTTTACTTCTTCAATTACATATTCGATCTCTTGTAAATAAAAATATTTTGTTCCGTTTCTGTACTCAGTTTTATTTTAAGTTAGCAGCACAAATGTAACTTTTTCGATCAGGTTTGAAGTACTACAAATACTGTTGTCAGGTCTAAACTTAATGTGACATCTTTTTTAAAATAAAGCATTAGTGCTTATTTTGTGAATGTGTCTTTTTATTAAGTGTATCTCTAGAAGCTCCTTAACACTACGTTAATAAAATAAGAGGTTTAAAATTATAAATGCATTTTTAAAGGCCTCGTTTAGCTCAATATGAATTTCCCAGATGGCACCACTTGTTCTTACAGAAGCCAACACTTTTGACTTAACTCAAAAGGTAACAAGTAACGTAAAATGACATAAAATTAAATTAACCTAATGCACTTTCACAGGTTATTTAATGCTCAGGGAGGCTCTTAAAAGTCTGTGTAAACAAGGCTAGAAGGGCTCAACGCCACAGAAATCTAATCACTTGTAAATCAAGGATAACAACGTGGCCTTCAGGCAAGCATAATACGCTATAAAGTCACCTTCCAAAATTTTCCCTTAAATACTGCTTCTTTCTACCCTGGGCTTAATTTCCAAAAGTAAAAGTGCCGGAGCCCTATCCAGGAACAAGAACAAGAGTCAGGAAAGAGGAACAAGAGTTAAATAAATAAATAAAATGACTATTAAAATCATTAATAATTTTTAAATTATATAGTTAATAAGTATCAAATTAATTAATAATTATTTAATTGATATTAATAATTGATTTTTATTGATTTTATTTAATTTATAATCATTATTTAATTAATTCATAATTAATTAATTATTATTTCTTAAAATAATAATCAATTAAAATTTATTTTCTTAAAATATTTGAATCAATTTTAAATGATTAAAATTGAATAAAAGGTAAAGAGATAAATTAAAATTTAATAAGCGATTTTTAATGTAATTTTATTGCTAAAAATAAGATTTTCGAGATCAAATTTTTACTGCAATATTTGTTCAGTTACGTAAAAGAAGTGCCGGAGCCTTCTTATTTAGGAATCCGGTGAGCTCCGGCTAGAATGTGTCCCAGAAAGCTAAGAAGTACCGGAGCCGGGCTCCGGCGCAATTTAAGCTCTATTTCTACCTCATTTTAATAAACGCGCGGTATCTTATTAACATTCTAGCAAGAAAGCGTGAGTTGAAAAGGATAATAAAAAGAAAGTTGCTTTTTAACTGTTACACACAGAAACTCACACAAATTTGTAAAAAGGTGGCCTTTTACTATTCATATGCTTTGTAACTGGCCTCAGTAGAAATGAAATCATTAAATTGCAGCTCTGCTCAGGACTGTCGTAACAGCCATCAAATTATCAATAAGTAACTGTATACATTTACGAATACATTAAATTATATATATGACATTATATGATTATAGTTATATGACATTAAATTATATAGTTAACATTAAATTATATAGTTAACATTAAATTATATAGTTATATGACATTAAATTATATAGTTACATTAAATTATATAGTTATATGACATTAAATTATATAGTTAACATTAAATTATTAACATTATATAGTTAATGACCTAATTAGGTCATTGATAGATAACGAAACATATAAACGAACAGGTCAGTTTAATTTGTTTTGAAAGCTCCCTTGAATTAAAAAGCTGAACGCGAATGTACAAACATTTCATCCTGTGAATAAACAAAGAATGAAAATTCTGAACTTAAATGAATTCCAAAGCGAATGCAAGTTAGTTAAAATACCCAGCCGAACGACTCAATACACTAGTGTTCAGAGAAGAATTTGGTTTGGTTTGCTTGATTGTTGTAAAGCATGCGAAGATTGTCTGCCTAAGAGAAAGGATGCCTTCATGGAGGACTTTTTAGGAGAAACTGGTTCGTATCCAAGTTACACATGAGAAACCCATAAAAAGGCCCTTGTAGCCAACCCGTCCACTAGGATTTGAACCCAGGGTGAACTACCAATGTTCAATGATTCGGCTCCAGTGATCCTCCAGTGACACTGCAATATCAAGAAAGGTCTGAGTTATAATAAAGATGTTTATTCAGGAGAATACATATGATGTAAAGCAGGTACAAATGATAAAAATTTGAGAACGTAAGTCAAAAGGAACCTTATAAAGTTAGTATCTTATTTATCCCCCTTTAACACTTACAAACGATCACACACGCTGCGATACTGATGAATGCAAATTTTAGATTACTTATATATTTGGAATGGAGATGGAATACATGTTCAAAAGAGTATAGTGTGTAGATCAACTTATATATGCTCTATGGAGAACAAAAAGACCGTGTAGACCAAGCTAATAGTGATACTTTGCACAAAAAAAAAAAAAAAAAAAAAAAAAAACAGTAAATATTGTGCGTTGGAAAATGTGTTCTTTTGGAATGTAGCCCAGGGATGGTTCTGTAGAGGCAATAAAACTTTTATTTTCAGCCACCACTGATGAATGTAATGCTGACAATCATAGCGTCTGAGATTCATAGACTGTGAACATATGAAGGAAATATGACAACAACCCATACCATAACGTTGAAAGTGTCATATAGTATTGTTGCATTCGTACGGGTTCGTAATAGACTGAATGCACAAATACGATAAAAAATTAATAAAATTTATTCTTATCACAAGAAATATAACTAAACGCTGGAATTTTCCCCAAAGATATTCGTACAAGTGTTCACAATATCGGGCACTAATAATCAGTAGAATGCAAATGCATTAAATAGAATGCAATACAACCGGTAGCTTTACTTTAAACTACAAATAACGTCAAAATACAAGGCAGTTCAAAGAGAAAGCTAATTCAGTTGGAGCGGAACTAAAACAAATCGCAATAACAGTAACTAAACAGCTGAGCTGAGATTTTTTATAGCTTTTAATCAGTCGCGAGAAATTTCTGGAAATTTCTTTACTTCTTGAGATTTCTGGAAAGCAAAAGAGTAGAATTACGGTTACAGCTAACATAGCAGTCAATTGCATTTATTCAAATTAAATATAAATTATCGAGATAACTTTCACTCAATGTTTAATGCACGTGCTCCTGTATTTGTACTTTTCCGGCATAGCTTTCTCTTAAAACTCGTCACGCGCTGCATTGCGCAGGAAAGTAAGACAATTTTAATTATAGTTTCTACTAACATTAGCCATCTAAATGCAAAATTCGTAAGAGTATCTTCATCATGGTATCAGTAAACGCAGGTTCAGCGCTCATGTTGTACCCAGGCTTGTCGAAGAAGATTGATTTTCTCATTCGTAGTTTCTTATAATCGTGATGAACCGCGCTAGAAGACATCTCTTGATATGTCAATGTGTTCCATTATTGCACTAATGCTGTAGAAGATGCTACACGATTCATCACCGCTTCGCATATAAGATATCAATACTGCTGTTCCGTCCCTTAACGTTGATGCGTCGAATTTCACCTATCCATTACGTGCACATACAAGTGTTGAGCGATTCAAAACTCATGGGACAAATTTAAAGGGATAGTAAAACACACTAAGCCCGCTGGCGCAGTGGCTAGCGCGTTGCGCAGCAACACCACAGATCTAGGGTTCGATCCGCGGGCTGGGCAAGGTTGACTCAACCTTTCATTCCTTGAGTGGGTCGATAAAACGCTTGGGGTCTAAATACCGGGGTCCTGCGACAAAGTGACCACTTGTCCAGGGCATATGCGCAAGCACCCCGCGGTCAGGAATGCAGATATCGGGCACTGCAGGCCTTGGCCCACTAGGGCTGTTGCACCACTGTGTTTAGAGTTTAGTACATTACATCAAACATTATTTGCATAGGAATGTATGGCTACAAGTAATGGATGAGGCACAACACAAGAAATAAAACAAGGAAAAAAAATCATTACGGACAGGTTCATCTTTATGAAAATATTTACGATAAGTGTTTAAATGTGTGTTCATCAAGAATAACAAGAGTAACAACGCATGCAGTGGCGTAATTGGCTTGTGCTAATCACAGCAGAAAGCAGTAGGTGACAGCTATATAATACAGTGGCGGTAGAGTGCCACCCGTCGGCATTATGGATCTGCGAGAACACGTAATTTGCATCTGTGTTGTTACCCGTAATAGACCTTTACGAATACCAAGACGGAAGTTATGCATTTGATTTACGTGTGTGCAAATGGTCACTGCAGAATACCGCTACCGACGTATAATAAAATGCTCTTCCTATCGATGGTTGCCGAAATATCAAATTTTTGACAGACTTCGAGAGCTAAATTTGTGAAAAATATTATGATACTCTGCTACGTAAGAATTGTAAGAATTGGAGGCTCCCTTCAGTCCACCTGGACACGAGTGTCCCCATAGCTCAAAAGAAGGGGCCCCGTATCTCCACAAACGAGGGCAGCCGGTAACCCAGCCACCCTCAAACAACAAATAAAAATACTAAATCAAAAATAAGTAAACACATCTAACACAAAATTACAGACCAACAAACAAACCCCCCCCCCCCAAAAAAAAAATCCATAAACACAAATTCACAACATAGAACACCACAGATATCCAAAACCAATACAAATACAAAATTCAATTTTAACAGAAGATTCCTACCAGCGCCCTATTTTCATTCATAAACTTCATTAGAGCAATAGAATATGATTTAAAAACTTTAAAATTAATGACACTTACATTAAAATCAGTAATGTTAAAAATCTGTCTAATAGGGGCTATTAAACTACGATCAAGCACGAAATGCCTAGCATCAAGCTGATAACTATTACATAATTTATTTTCCTGTAGATTAAATCGGTTGAAATAGAACGGAAACCTACCACGTCCAGTGAAAAACCTGATTAACATCAATATTGTTCATATATTTCATTTTGTTTGTGATTTTAATTAGTTCCAGAAATCCATTTTAATTAGTTCCATAATTCTGCTACGTATCTCATCGCTAAATACATAGTTTTCATTTGCAAAACTATATGTTAATCACTCCATCGGCACTGCCATGCTTATATCATTGATGGTGGACTCAAGTTTTGAACAGTTGTTTTAAATATTGCTGTGATGACGCATTTGTAAACGATGGTATAAGTAAACAATTTTATGAAAACCATGAAAGAGATTTTCATGGCCTGTATTTTGTTCTAATGCTTTCGCGACTAAAATTTTCCTCTAAC